AATAACAAAGTAAAAAAAAAAAAAAAAAAAAAAAAAAATTTAAATGTGACTGAAAAACCAACAAAATTAAATACAGGAAAAATCATCAGGCTTTAAAAAAAAGGCTTCTTTCTGCAGCTCGACATCCCACTGACCTACATAAGGTGGCAAAAGTGTCATAAGCTGCAGAAATTAAAAGGTATTACAGGGATGAACTTATCTCAACTGATAGAGATTGCAGAAATTCGTTTCATGACGGAGAGGACAAAGAATAGAAATTTAAGTAGGAGCAGGAGCTTTTCAAAAAGAACAACCTATGTGGCTTTATCTGGAAATTTACAGGTTTTAAAGGAACAAGCAGCCGCAAAAGGGGAAATAACTAATACCCCTGCTTGCTTCCCAGCTGGAACTCAGTGAAATGCTAATAATAAATTTTTTGTTTATATGCCTGTCAAATTGCAAAGTGCAGGATTACACCTATCTGCAGCTTGCAGAGTTTCTTTTTACCATATGTGACACCTATTCGGGTCAATTTGTGGGGAACAGATTTGTTACTAAAGTGGAAATTAATATTGACTAGTAATTCTGACTCTGATTTTAAATTTAAACAAACAAATTCCAATACTAAAATTAAACAAATAGATTCAAATCCTAAAATTAGACCACTGATGATTAACATGGGATTTGAAAAAGACAAAGGACTAGAAAAAAAAAAAAACATACAAGGACTCAAAGGGCCTATACAGACTACAGCTAAGAATGATGGGCATAGTATCAGATATCAACAGGTTTTTCTTTAACAATGGCTATTGATACTTTTCCCCCAAAAACAGCTCTGCCTTTACAATGGAAAACCGAAGAGTCTGTTTGGGTGTTATGATATGTAAAGTCTTACAGAAGGATTCCACAAACACTATTAAATAAAAAAAGGGAGGAAAGAAGTCTACAAAAGTGATAACATTAACCTAAATTATAGTAAGTCTTACAGACAGAGATCACAGAAACACTTAAAAGAGAAGATCTGAGTACGTGACAGAGTGTATTTGAAGATGTCTATGCTGCAAATTACTGAAAGGGACATGAAAGTTGTTGGTATTCTTAAGACAGAATAAAATACTGAAAGTCTATTAAATACAGGTAAAAGGTTTTTATTTTTTCCAAATTTTTTTTATAAGAGATCTCTGCTAATTGACCTATCAAAAAAAATAAAGTTCTGACTAGACTTACAATTACAAACTTATAATTCAATATGGCCAAAACTATATTTGAGTGCACTCTGAATTTATAAGCAAATTGTCTTGTGTATGTGTTTTGTTTGTTTGTCTCTGCCAGGTCCG